CGACAAGAATTCACAGGAACTAATAATAAACAAAGTTTTCAACTCACATAGACCATAAGTAATCACAGTTTTCAACTCGCATAGACCATGAGTAATCAAAGTTTTCAACTCACATACATGTACATGTAGATCACTAGTAGTCAAAGTTTTCAACTACAAGCCGGGAAGCTATCATTTTCACTGCAAGCTAGCATGATCTAAAAGTTCATTGTGGCCTACCAGCACATACATGTACATGTACTGTACCTGTACCTTCAAAGTGAGTCCCATCCTCCCCTTCCCCCCCCCCCCCCTCCTACTGCTCATATTTATAACGCTAAACTGAAGACTGCTAATGGTTTAAAACTCCAGTACTTTCGTAACCATGATCAATTAATCCAGACATTTGGTCCCAGTTTCTGAGTGGTGAGTTTGACAGTGCTTGAGTTGGGAAACATTTTTACCGACGGCATCATGCCAGCAGCCGCCGCTTACCCAGACACGGGTAAGCGTCGGCCTAGACAGATTTTTTATTTTTTATTTTGCTGCCGAATATTCGAATGCGAGAAATCGTACCCGAGTAGTTGTCAACCGTGCGGGTACTCGAGCATTCGACTACACGTCTCAGCCCTACAGGATACATGTAACTTTAAACTTGCAACCAAGACCTAAACTTTAAATTGAAGGATTGTTGTGTGAACCTTCACATATAACCTCTATCACTATGAAAAAAGTGTGAAATGTCAAAAATGAAACATAATGCAATGTGCCAAAATAAAAAAATATATGGAGCATGAAATAGGCAATGCCATTTTCAAAGTATTAGGATTCAAAATTCCTCTTTCATTTGACGATTACCATACCAGGTGTGTTTTACATTGCAAAAAGCTTGAAAATACTGCTGTAAAAGGACCCTCAGTAAAAAAAATAATGAATTAAAGGTGCCTTTTTTCTACTGGTTGTCATCAAACAGCATGATCCCATATGACCGCTAACAATGACAATCTAATCAGTTTCTTGAAACATGGCCTCTACAGTTGTACCACAATTCCTCAGATATTTTTATTAATCTGAGAGAATGAAATGTGAAGGCTCTTAGCATAATTTCAGAGATAAGCATAACTTCAGAGATAAGCATAATTTCAGAGATAAGCACCACTGAACAATACCAATTCCACATAAAGTTCAGGAGACCGATTGTATGGTTTATTGTTCAGTATTTCAATCTAAATGTACAGCCACAGCTGAAACCAAGCATTGCCCTTATTGGTCGAATGGGAACAGACAAAATACTGGACATGAGAGGCATCAACTATAAGTCTTTTTGACATGGGGCACAGATGGTATTACTTAAGTTTATTCAGTTATTCATCAACTTTCTACTTGCATCAGAATTCATTGAGGTTCAGAAGAAAGCTGCTGAAAGGATAAAAGGAGCAATTCTGACCCCAATTCTCTCAACCTATTCCCTCCGTAACAAAACGAGTCGTCTGCTGAGATTAAGAAAAGGCAGTACCGGCAACTGTATCATTTTACAAAGAGTTAACAGCCTTCTGGCTCTTTTGGAAAGAAACGATATTTGAGATAGCTAGAGTATAATTGGAAAAGAAAGTTTGATGTTTCAAAAGCAGGACCGACAGAAAAGCAAGTCTCAGTAAATCTGTCACCTTTGACCTTTGACCTCTGAATGGTCAAGTTTGAGAGTCATTGCCCCCTGATGAAGGGTTCTTCACCTACTTTGGAGGGTAATCTTTGGATACTGGAGCCAGGTGAAAAATAAGAGATATGTTGGAGGGGTGAGATATGTTGGAGGGGAGGAAGAGAGTGAGATGGATTGAGATGGGGGGAAAGAAGAATGAGAAGGAGACCTAGGAGAGGGGGAGGAGGAGGAGGAGGAGGAGGAGGAGGAGGAGGAGGAGGAGGAAAAGGAGGAGGAAAAGGAGGAGGAGGAGGAGGAAAAGGAGGAGGAGAAGGAGGAGAAGGAGGAAAAGGAGGAGGAGGAGGAGGAGGAGGAGGAGGAGGAGGAGGAGGAGGAGAAGGAGGGAGGAGGAGGAGAAGGAGGAGGAGGATGTACACAGTTGCGTATGTAGAAAGAGAGATGGTGAGAAGGGATAAAGAAGAGAGGGAGGGAGGGATCGAAAGAGAGAGAGAGAAGAGAAATAGTGGGAAGAAGATAGAGAGAGAGAGAGAGAGAGAGACAGAGAGAGGTGGTGGGGGTATCTGTATAAAGCCTTCAAATAGGTCAAAACAGGAGTGAGAAACATACAGACAGAAATAAAGTGAGCTTGACAATGTAAATGAGTTGTACAGTGTCAGTGAAACAGACATAGAGAAATACAGAAAGACAGACATCTACAGGTACATGTATACAGACAGAGCGAGCGAGAGGGAAAGAGAGAGAGAGAGAGAGAGAGAGAGGATGGAGTATAGATGGGGAAAGAAAGAAATGAAAATGACTTCTACATATTATCTTAAATGTTCACTGACACCAAACTGTTGGGAACAATGAACAATACTACAGTGTACTTTACAATATATTCAAATGCAAACAATCAAAAGTACATGATGACCTTTCAAATGTGACAGATAATATTGATAATACACAACTACAGGATGTAATTTTCAACCTCCATTCAAGGATAGGATGTCAACGCTTTATAAAAATATGTTACTATTCTAGATATTTGAAAACCACATACAGGTATGTATTTTTTTCTTGTTTGCTAATTTTTTTCCTGATCATTGGCACTAATGGACAGATATCACTCCAGCCCCCCCCCACGAATCCTTCAAAAATGTGTGATTGTTCAAGATATATACTTGACATACATGTACATGTACGTGTAAAGCTTGCTTCCGTGATCTTAAAGACCGTCTGCACTACACATGTAGTTTGGCATGGAGGGATAAGCTCTCCCTGCGAGGCCACTGGCAAGTGGTTATCTCATCAAATCAGCTCTCACTTAACATAAGAAAAAGGGGACCATGGGGGATCAACGGGTACCGCTTAGGCATTGTTGGCTGTATAGAGGGCGCAAGTAGCTATAAGTAGTGCAGTGGGCCTTTAAGTTCCCTGACTGATTGCACAATGTGTGATTGTTCCAGATATTTGAACTTGACATGATTCTTTTTTCTTTGATTCTAAAACTTGGAAGTCTTTGCTTTCTTCCCCGAAAAACGACCAAACTTTGAAGGAGACAGGAGAAGCAGTTTGAGAAAGGAGGTTATCTTGGGTGACCATCGGGTAATACTACTCCCCTATCATTGATCTTCATCTTCCTATATGACCTACTTGTGGAGAGACAGTAGGTATGTCTTCATCAGCTCAAGATTGCCAAATAGCCTGCTATTTCTGATTTGGGAAATAAGCCCGAAGTTACAATTTGCGTCTTCATCAGCTCGAGACTCAACCTCGAAACTCGAACTCGTGAGATTTTGCTCAGCGTTCGCGCATAGTGCGAGTCTTCGGGCAGGTGAAGACGCACCGGACAAATAGCGGCATATTTTGCAAACTAGCCCAAGATATCTTGGGATGATTATCTCGACCCAATATCCCGCTAATTGCAACTATGAGCGGATGAAGATGCAAATTAGCTGGATATTTTGCGATCTGGATAGTTAAAATAGTGGGTTATTTGGCAATGTGGAGCTGATGACGACAGGCCTTGTGAGAGGGAGAGGTGGAGATGAATGGGGGAGGGGAGGGAGGGGGAGGGGAGGGAGGGGAGGGAGGTGGTGAAAAAGTGAGAGAAAAATTAAGGATAAAGAAAAGAAAGAGAGAGGAAGAGAGGGGTGAGGAAAGGAAACAAGAAGGGAGAAGATTGTGAAGAAAAGAAAGAGAAGAAGAGAGAGATAGGGGGAGAGGGGAGGGGTGAACAAAGATAAAGAAATGAGAGAGGGATAGAAAGAGAGAGAGAGATATAGGGAGAGAGAGAGAGAGAGAGAGAGAGCAAAAAGAGTGAAAGAGAGAGAAACAGAGACAGTCGAACTGCAAGGAAAAGATAGTGATGGAATAATATAGAGACAATTTAAAACAAATCAAAGGCTATGTAGAGAGGAGATTTTGGGCATATTAAACGAACGGTTAAATTTAAGAGAGAGAGAGAGAGAGAGAGAGAGAGGACAAACAAAAGATACTTAAGATAGAGAGACTTATTTGATAGCGTTTAGAGCAAAATAATCACTGCACGATTATGAGGTTTTTTTTAATTTATAAATTACAAATGTCAGATCAAGATGATACATATATCTTTCTCTCTCTGATTCTGATTCTTTCATTTTTTTTTCATTTTTTTTTTTTGGGGGGGGGGCTGTAGTTAGATACCTAATGACTAGAAATATGAGAATAGGGAAAGTATCAGTTAGGTAGACAAGGATAAAGTGATGAAAAACTGAGGACAAATCACCAAATAATGAGGGCAGTCTTGTCTGGCTTAGGGCTGATGACAACTGAATTCATCATCAGCCAACTTGACACAGAAATAAGAAATCTGATTCTTTACTATACTACCCTGAAATTTGGGTCTGTCATTGGCCTAAATCTTTGGAGGTTAGACAAGATACATTTCAATTTTAAATGGGACAATTTTTGAGGGATTTTAGAAGATTTAACATTGAAAGGGTTTAAGGATTTGTGACACTAATGGTTTCATTGGCCTACATGTAAATGTTTAGAGGCCATACAAAATACTTTTCTATGGAACAATGTTGGAGCAACTTTGGACCCTTCTTAGGGTAACGGTTATAGTGAACCTGAAACATTGTTGAAAGTTGATGAAAAAACTGTGTAATTTTTGTATGAAATGTTACTGTACTAATCCTCTTTACATGCATATAATCCTGGAACAATTATAAAACCACATAGATAGTTATGGTTTTCTTTGAAGGTGTCACTATGCGACAATCATTCGTAACAGGATGTTGTATCAACCCACCTCAAAAAACAGATATGCAGTATGTTTTACAAAAACAGCCTATTGTATGAAAAATTGAATAACAAAAATAATGAATTAAAAACTTACGTTACGACGCAAGTCAAAATCGCCAGAAGTCCAGTACTGATCGGTAACCATGACAGACCGCCCAAGAGCGGCCTCGTCTTTTTCTCCTCCTCCATTGCGGGCATTTTCCTCTTCTTCCGGCACCAGCCTAGTCCCTTCTTTGCACAGTTGCAGAACACGCACTGCATAGGTTTGAATGGGTGTAGTACTTCCAAAAAATGGTCACCACTCTGGAATTCACTGACCAGAGTTCTGGATGGTTACCAGTCTCTATCCTTTTCCTTTAAATCTCTACAGCTTGGACTGATGGTATGTATTCCCTGAGAAAGGCTTACCGGTCTATCCTTAAACTGATTTGGTGTACCAGTCTGATCCCTTCTCCTCTAAAATGTGACTAAAATCTCTCCAAATCACAGGCAAATCTTGAACCCATCCATTCCATCAATCCCAAGTCCTTTGCCTCATGATTCAGAAGAAGAAAAGCGCAACCAGGGACCAGGAACCTGTTAAGAAAAACAGACAAATAAACAATGATTAATAACATTATCAGACTATTTGACTCAATTTTAACTGGATTACCATTTGCCCCTCCCCCCCACCTCCCCCCCCCCCCCCCCCCCCCAAAAAATAAAAATATCTTTCTGAAGTAACCAGGACAGGACAAAAAGCCTTTTATATTTACTGATCCGGCCAATTTATTTTAGTAGTTGCGTACTCTATCTTTTTTTAAAATCAGATTGTTTATATAATCTTTTAACAATGACTCAAGCTTTAGAAATATGTTAGAGCTAACAGGAGAATTCAAGAGTTGCAACTTGCAGTATTACCATCTGTTTGGAGCCAGAAGGGCATTAACTCTGTGTAAAATGATACAAGCCAAGGCCTTTCTGGCTCTCTATACGGACATTATGTTTCCGAAATATATTACTGAAAAGTAGAGCTCATGGAATTGCATCTTGTTAAAATAAAAAATGAAAATGATTCCTAATCCATATTTACACTTTAAAATTGGAACTTGGTATGCTCGACATGGAAGCTCTATAGACCGGACAGTCATCAAAATGACATATATATTCATGAAGGCTAATAGCAGGCAAATACAGATTACAACCTTCTCTTACAAACACTCTAGCATACACTTGTACAAATATGAAATCACACCAAGCAAATATCACATACAGGAATCTCGACTTGTAAAATGGGCCCAAAGGATGATGCAAAACAGAAAAGTCACGATAAAGGCGTCCTGCCAAATGACTCACGCCTTTTCCGCCGCCCGTTTCAACAGAACCTTTTCACCTCTTTTGTCTCTCATTTTATTTCTTGCTGCTAAAGGAGCATTAGGAGACTGTTTGAGATAGTCAGTTTCCTGAGAGTCGACAGAGTAAATGAAACGCAGGTTGGAAAAGAGCACAAAAACATCTCCAAACGAGCGAGCTTGCCAAATAAAATGTGAAGCAAATGTTACATTCATGACGATCAGCTTGAGCCCAAAGCACAGTATTGAGTGATCATGTTTCTGCATCTCTGTGAGGAAGGGTTGGGTTTTATGTTATCCTTCATTTTCTTCACACTTCTTAACTGTTTACCCACAGAATGCCAGGTTTATTCTAGCTACCGGTATCTGAAACAGGTGATAGGTATACTTAAAAGTTTAAAGTGACTTGGTATTAAACATTGTATCAGATTCTGAAACAAAATCCTGGATTTAGCTCATGCTGCAATCATAATAATAAACCTTCAGGTCAGTCAGGAATCCCATGACTTTTACAAGCCGATCGCCTGTCTGATTATCAAGTTTTCTATGATTGGAATTAGAAATTTCAGAATTTGTTTTCCTAACTATTTTTATAACACTGCAGTCTATTGGGAAAAATGAGTATGGTAAAACCGGTCACTCAAAGATTTTTACCTTTTTGAGGCACTTCATGATCATTTTGAAGCGCAACTTTTTTAGGGCTTCAATATTACAACAACCATATCACAAACACTGATAACACGTACAGTAGGGCCATGCATCTCAGATTTAACATTGTAAAACGATGCCATTAATACAAATGTTTCTATTAAAGTGCTTATACTATTACCCCGGTCATTAGATTCAATACTTGCCTGCACACACTGTGTGCACAATCTCCCCTCCCTGGGGAGCATTCCAGCCAGGCATTACTTGACACTCAAAAACTGTTTGATCAACAATGACGGTCGCATCCCACCGGATAAACACTAGACCTGAAAATACTGAATTTTCTTTACAACAAAATAGTATAACATATATAATACGGTAGGCCTATTAAATACACTGTAACTATGGTACTAGTAGATCTATTCAATATTACTACGGTTGAAAAGCAGAGAGTTGATCCATAAACATGTACCGTATAGACCCCCTCAGACAAACGCCAGACTTATTCTATTGTTTGTCTGTTTGTTTCCCTTTAATTGTTAATTTGGGAGTCAAGGTTGTAGGCTACTAGCTGTTTTTGTTGACCCCTCATTCTCATTCTCATAATTTTGTTTTGGTTTATTAAACTGCTTTGTATTGATAACTATTGGTGATGCTCTGTTGTTTCTATGTATATTGCTGTTATTGAGAGTGAAAATAAAGACTGAAAGACTGAATTTGAAAATATTTTTTTTCTTTTCAACAAAAGTATGACATATACATGTAAATGGGACTAATATTGTCATTGTTTGCTATGTTTACGTGCATGCACAACAGCATATGACTTATTACAGTATAATCTGTATTTGTCGTTTAGACTCTCCAAATGGATAAACCTGTTATGATAATAACCTTGAGCCGTGACAAACAAATACTGAATACAAATGAAAAAACACATGTACACACGTAGATCGATAATCGCAAATATGGTTGTCAAGGGGAACGCACGCCACTTATTAAAACTTAATAAAAGATTCACTCGTCCAAATCAAAGAGGCATCAATAGGAAATGGAAATACATGTAGAATAGCACAGCATGCATGCATGAATGCCATAATTAACAGAGTCACTTTTCAAGTGCGGAGAAGTACAATGGCTGTTATAATTCCATCGCACAAATCAGATCGTTCGTCTGTTCAGGCATAAAATTAAATTTATATGGGCGAATGAATTCTGAACTGGAGATATATGTATATGTCATAAAAAGAATTCTGCTATTTTGTATTGTATGATTGGTTTTATGGAAAGATGTATGAATGCAAGAATCGAAATTTATAGAATTTGGGTAAACTTGAACAAAGCAGGGCAATATTTTTACAAGAATATTTTGTATAAGCTTTGAAGCCCTTATAAGAATCTCAAAATTAAAGATGAAGTTGAATTCTGGTCATGCGATTGCATTGTGAAAGAAAAGGTGTGGGATCGACCAAAAATGGTTGATCATGTAGCATGTAAGTATTGGTGTGTCCTGCAAGACTCTGGAGTCATCAAAATCATAATAAATTTGACCAAGTCTTGGTAAAGTAACAAGCACTGTACACAGAAAGATGTATATGGGACTACAAAAATGGTGCCGAGGCTACTAACCTTGATTTCCTTATCTTTCTATGAGCATTACTCAGCCAGTATACATTTATATCAAAATTATTTGGCAAATGACATTTATTTGTACTCTTGAAGATTCAGTGTAAGTTTCGTTTGATTCTGTGATAATTAATTTTCTTTTTTTTACCATAACTCAAGTATATGCAGGGGGCTAGCACACAAGTCTTAAAGCATCTCCCTAACAACTATAATGTACAAGGACAGTGCATGGGTCAGTGGCATTTATGACAAGCCTATTATTATCTAGGTGAAATTTACATGACATAACAAGATATTATTGATTACAAATGCCCTTGAATGTATTGTGTCATTGATTACACCATCACAAACAATAAACAATGAATTATTGATTTGTTTGTGGTCGTCTGTGGAGTATGGAGTTCATATACGCTGCCATGGGTGTCGTTCGATGGGCAGTGACTTTTATGTACAAGGGAGTGTTTCACAAAGACCAAGATCGACTTTAAGTTGGACTTACATGTAACTATGGCAGGCTGTTCATGCCACTGATATTGCTCTCACTATTGGTCTCTCTCAAATATGATCCTTAAAAATTATTTTCACTTTCAATAATGAACTATAAAAAAATGTAAATTCTGTAGATTTGTGAACTTCCCTTGATAAACCAATGCTAGGAATGGTTAGAGGAACTAGTGGCATGAAAGGCCTGCCATAGTTACATGTAAGTCCAACTTAAAGTCGATCTTAGTCTTTGTGAAAAAGACCCAGGATTGCTATGCTCTCTACACAAGAGAAAAATCTTGACTCCAAAGTTAGAGAAATATCTATAAATGTACATGTTGCTCTGGCAAATAAACATTATTCTCAAATAACAACCCCCCCCCCCCCAAAAAAAAAAAGTAACAATAATAACTTGGTTTTGGTTGGTATATTCTGGGCACAATCGTATCTGAAAAATATCCTATTTTATCTTTAAAATAAAATTAGCATTCTGAGACCATTTTTTATCTAAGTTTTTACATTTCACTTCATCCAAATCTTTTACTTCTCAAGTGTCATATGCCATTGCCTAACATATTATATTACCTACCGGTACATGATATATAATTTCACAATTCATGGATTTTTTTAACCGCAAGGATGCACTTCAGAAATGATAGTTTCTTTGTTTGCATTTCTAAACCAAAATACATAAATACCAGTACATATTGTCAATGGCCTCTACATGTCATGATGTACTTATGCTTAAACTATACGTCAGCGATTGTATAGTAGTAACATGTACATAAAAGTGCAGGTGCAATGGTGGGGGGGGGGGGTGCATTTCCCCCGTCAGCATTTTTATCGACCTGCCTTTTGGCGACAGTTATGGAGACAAAAAGAAAGCAGAGGCCACGTCGACAAATTTATATATCAACATAATATTGTGTTTGTGTGTGTGTGTGTGGTTATGAATTTCACAGCTGGCAAATGTCATATTATTTTGTAAACTACAGATCTACATGTACAGTGTACATGTAGATGTATGTGGTGCTCCCACTGTGTTTGCTAACATACATGTAGCTACAATTGTATATTCCTCTATTCTTAGCCATGATCTAGTGGATAGTCGCTCGACTGCGGATCACATGGTTCAAGGTTTGTGTCCCACTGGGGCACTTATGTCCTTTGGCAAGACATTAATCTATATTTGTCACTCTCCACCCAGGTGTAGTGAATGGGTTCCCGGTAGGAAGAAATTCCTTCTTTACAGCCCAGTAATGGTCATGTTTCAGTGAATCGCCCGCCCCTCCCCCTTTTTTTTACAACGTTTAAAAAATGTGATGTTAGAATCATTAAAGGGATTAATCCCGACAAGTAACTTTGCTTTTGTTTTTCCCCATCAGCATACTGGTTTACCATTATTTTCCCCTTTTGTACCCACCTTTCTTTTGTGTACATTTGTTTCTTTCAGTATTCCTTTGTATTTCATACATACATGTAAAATGTACATTATTTTGTATTTTGCATGTTTTTAACTGGAATGTGGAAGATTAATACAGCAATAAACGAAACGAAATGAAATGAAATGAAATAAATAAGGGGTGCGGACCCCTTTGTTGGTGTGGACCAAATTCTACAATTGCATTTAATCAAATGGTGCATATCTTGTAATAATAATAGGAAAAAACTTTTCCTACAAATCTTTTTGTTGTTGAGTGACTCTCTTTTCAAAGGAAACATTTCAAAAATGCAGTATATGAGCTTTTTGAGCAAAAGATAATTCCAGAATCTCCTTTTGAAGGCCTTTGGAGCAGAACGAAATCAAACAATTTGTGCGGAAAAAAAGTGCTTAGCATCCAATGGATTAGATCAGCTGGTAACAAAAGAGTCAGGATGTTTTGAAATTGAGTCAAAGGATGGGATATCTCTGAAGCTCTCCTCTCTCTATTACGAGCAATAGGCCTGTTTTCATCAGCTCAAGATTGCCAAATAGCCCGCTATTTCTGATTTGGGAAATAATCCCGAAGTTACAAATCGCGTCTTCATCAGCTCGAGACTTGACCTTGAAACTTGAAAGTTGAGGTCGAGAAATTAGCTTGAGATATTTTGCTCAGCGTTCGCACATAGTGAGAGTCTTCGGGCTGGTGAAGACGCACCATGCAGACAAATAGCGCGATATTTTGCAAACTAGCCCAAGATATCTTGGGATGGTTATCTCGACCAAATATCCCGCTAATTGCAACTTCGGGCCGATGAAGACGCGAATTAACTGGATAATTTGCGATCGGGATAGTTCAAATAGCGGGATATTTGGCAATATCGAGCTGATGAGGACATACCTAGAGATGTCTGGGTACTAGTAAAGGTGAGAAATAGTACTGAGCTATCTTGTAACTATCGCATACCATAGTAAAAATATTTTCTGACATGGATAATTGGTCTCTGTAAAACTACACAGAACCCCATACTACAAAACAAAATATTTTGGTGATTGGTACATGCACTTAAATTAGTACTAGTTTGGCTAGGAGGGATTAGACCACCCAGGAAGGTCACTGACAGGTGGCTATCTCATCAACTCAGCTCTCAATTAACATAAGAAAAAGAGGATCATGGGGGACCAATGGGCACAGATTGGGGAAGTTTTCTATATAGAGGGAGCAAGTAGCTACAAGTAGGACGGTGGGGCTTAAATGAGGTCTGGGGAAATTGTGACATTGTGATAACAGTTTTTGAGTGTTTCCTCATTAATGCTTGTCTATTATTTTGGATGTGATGGATGTGATGGTTATTTTACCTGACTGCTAAGAAAGTATAAATGCTTCTAAGTAAGCAACCAGAGGACCAACGGCTTTAGATCCTCTCCAAGGGACCTGGTAGTGAGGATTAATGCCTTACCAAAGGGCACTAGCGCATCACCTTGGTTTTGCACCCGGTTCACCGGATTATGAGACCACTGCTCTACCGACTGAGCAAAATTGTCAATATTCCAAGCAATCAGGGCAGCGTTTCATGAAATCGTCATAAGTACAAGTTCACCAACATCCCATTGACACGTGTGTTAAACTTAATACACACATTTTAACAGGATGTCAGCGAACTTGTACTTATGACGGTTTAATGAGACCCTGCCCTGAACACTGAAAGGCATAGGGGTAATTACTGCACTTTTGAAACTTGAAAAATCACTGTAGATCTAATGTGATATACTGGTAAACAATAATGCAGAGCTTGCATCAATGTTCTGATTCCTTTCAAAACCACATCTGTATGTTACAAAATCTATATATCTACATGTATATTGTGAAACATTTCCATGCCTGTCTTTTTATTGTGTGAAATCCAACTCATGGTTGCAATAAATAAATGAATTATATTAATTCATATACATGTACATGTAGTTCATATATATATATGTATGTAGTTCATTACCAGTACCATTAGAGCAGTTGAAAAGGTATAGTGTCAGCATCAACATACTTCTGATAATATTCGACCATCACCATCATCCCCTTATCTGCAAAACCAATATACAGTATTGTCCTCATGATAACAAAGTATATATACATCACAGCATCAGGCACATTTCCCACAAGGTGAACCAGGGTGTAGATGAGATATGACAAATTAACAAAGATATCATTCAATCTATTCACTCATACTGTACACTGTACATTGCATATTATTAATAATAATACATTTATAGAGCGCAGAAACTATCCAACATTATAAATATTCTACTGCGCTACAAGAGCTCCTGATATGCTTAGATTTACAGTTAATTAAAAAGATGTGTTTTCAGTTTTGATTTAAAGACATTTACAGATGGTGATTTCCTGACTTCAAATGGCAAGTTATGCCTAGATATATATCCTTGTTCAGATGTGAAAAGTTAAACCATAGTGGAGGAAGGGGGGCGGGGTTTATGACTTAAATATAGTGAGAGAAATATACGCTTCACATTTCTGTATGTTATAACACAGAGCTCAGTGAATATGTGTAGGACATTTGTTTGCATGCAGTTGGCATTCATTTACATATTGATTTTAAAAAACTGTGGTTGACTGTTTCATATTGAATGAGCCTAAGGGTTTTTCACATTGGAAGAAAGATCTTATACAGAAACCTCTTAAAGCCTATCTGCACTAGTTTGGCCAGGAGGGATCAGACCTCCCTGCACCTCTCATCAAATCAGCTAAGGGGACCATGGGGGATCAACGGGTACCACTTAGGCATTGTTGGCTGTATTGAGGGTGCAAGAGCATGAAAAAGTTCCAGTTTAATCACTTTGTTGCATCTTTTGAAGGATACAAATCAGGTACCCGGGAAGATGACTGTGTTAGAAATGCCAAAAAAACCTCTGTTTCATGGACTAGCATTCACTTTCATGTAAATTCACAATCATTCTCATTATTACCAAGTATTTGGCGTCGCCTGTGCATGGAAGGGGAATCGCAAACTGAATCACTAGGCCTGTCTTTATCAGCTCGAGATTGCCAAATAACCCGCTATTTTAACTATCGTTCGTTTTCACCAGCCCAAAGACTCGCACTACATGTATGTGCGAAGACTGAGCAAAATATCTCAAGCTTATTTCTCAAGCTCAAGTTTCAAGCTGATGAAGACGCGATTTGTAACTTCTGGCTTATTTCCCAAATCAGAAATAGTGGGCTATTTGGCAATCTCGAGCTAATGATGACAGGCCTACATGTATCCCTCTGGTCTCTCCTCCTAGAATGACTGATTATAACTGATTGGGATGTGCAGGTGGGCAACTACATTAGGCCCCCCCCCCCTTTTATAAAACTCTCTTCTATCAATACTTGTTTTGTTTTCCGCTCCCGGGCTCTTTACCCAGGAATCTGGACGAATGCTGTGTTCTCAGCAGTCAGGTTCAAGTTCAAGTTCACATAGAGAGTGCAGTGGGTTCTTCATCTTAGTGTGCAATATTTGTGACTCTTCTCTCTACACAGGGCCTTCGTTTAACATCATATCTGAGGGACGAGATGAGACATTTGCATGATTATCCCCACCTGGATAAAGGGAGGGGGGGGGGGGGAAGGGGGTTAAATACATATATACTGTATTCTGTGTTCTGTCTGCAGATTGCAGGCATATTTCCCACAAGATAGGGGATAATAAAAGGAAGGTCAGTGTCTCTAAAAGATTAAGAAATTAGCTAATGATTAATTAACCATTAGCTACATGTACATGTTATTGCTGATGCTGCAATAGCACTAAGTGGTAAATAACTCAGTCTTAGCAGAAAGTTGCATTGTAGATGGCCACAATTTAATCTTCTTTATGGATGCAGTATCCACATAGTGATGGTTGGATGGAAACAGTTAGAGAATATAGGGGCAAGCCCCCCCCCCCCCCCCCTCAGTAATAAGTACTTAACTTGTAATCATACCATTTAAGTATGCCATCCCCCCCTTTAAATTAGAAAAACAAATTTTAGAATTCAATTCTGAGTACAGTGCCTATTTGTAATTTTTTTTAAAAAACCTGCAACAACACAAAAAACAACTAAATTAAGAGAAATACATTTGAAATAATTGCAAGGCTACATATATTAAACATTATCAGTCTTGTCTTTAAACATGTAAATAATAAAATATGGAGGGGTAAAATAGGGGCCTAAATTATCTTCATTTTCACTTACCGGTAAGTTTATTAAATGATACAGTGCCATGCATTGCTACAGTAAGATTCACAATGAAATACACATCTAGAACCACCGCTAAAAATAGCACAACCAACAACTCTAACGCCACCACCACAACCATCATTAACAACATTACCACCCCTACCACTACTACCACCTCTACCACTACCAGTACCACTTACAGTTACACCACTACTACAACTACCAACATAATCACCACCACTACCACCACTGTCACCCCAACCAATACCACAACCAATACCACTACCACAACCACCACCACCAACGGTCATACTATACATTTCGGGATGGAGAAGAGAGAGAGAAATGATTGTAAACAGCAGCTACAAATAAAATGAATGTAAAACACACTCACCGATGAAAGCTTGGTCTATATTCCATTAACTGAAGAAAAATTCAATACTTTTTTCAGTTTTTGGTCACAATTTTCCACAACACTGCACTCCACCGATATCCAGTACTGGTCCTAGAACTACTGGTCGAAGGAAAATGTCCCCAACAGCAATAGTTATTCCACCACAAAAATGGAGCAGTTTTCTCTCTCCTGCTATCACTTCTGAAGTCAGTGATTTGTAGTATCAATGAATGAGATCCTTCTGGCTCATTGCTTTGAGCTAGATTGAAGAAAAGGATGACCTAAACATGCCAGCGATTTGTTTTCATTCACTCACGCAAGCTATCCACATGTGTTCGAACAGGTCGAGGCTGATGTTCATGACCATGCACCTGAGCTGAGAGCAGAGGTGAAGTCTGTTGATAAAAGCACATCAGCTGTGGAACCCGTTTCAAAATGGAATAGCAACAGGAGATCTAGCCCCCAGTTCAAAACTCCCCTCACAACTAGCGGTAGCTCACTGCAGAATATATTCAATCTGTACCATACTAACTACGCACATCCAGGGTAACCTCTTAGCCCTGATACACACAACATACTGCATGCCTGGCCACTGAATGCATGGGATATTATTGTGCACGTGTTGTGTGTGCCTTCACACACAGAGATTTCTGTGTGTGCTGTTATATTTGCTGTTACTATACACTCACGTATAATCTGTGTGTAAACATTGCTGTATAAAGGCATGGTTCCTCTCAAATAGCAAACAAATCATGTTGTTTAAGCTTGAAAACCTACATTAAAATATGATTAAGGTAACAACTTTTAAAATAAGAGGAGTCCTTCATCACTAAAAATCAATAATTGAAAACAAGAGCCAATAAAATAGTAGACCTAGCTTACCGAGTCCCTCGCAATTGAATAGATTGCTCACCCCTATTAAGAGCCAAGGTAGTTACACTTGGAACAGTCCAACAAGAAGGGCTATTCATGACTCATAGACTGAAAACTTTTAATTAGACTCCTACATTACAGAGGAGGGGTGCACATCTCATCTACCACACAATTTCCTGAAGTGTCAAGCAACATTGCAGCGAGGGCAGAATGCAGAAGGCAAGAGTTGATTGAGGAGGCGGTTGTTTCAGGAATCAAAAGTTTTGGAAGGGATAATTTTCTTTGACACTTAGGGAAAGAGTTAGTCACTTCTGCGACTGTTTTCTATTAGCAAGCCTCGAATAAGGGACAAAAGAGCTGTTTCCTAGATAAGCAAGCGTCTGATATTTGATACTTTCAGGTCAGTCTGTAAAACATCAGGACCCACATTTTTACTGGAATATAATCCAGTTCTGAAGGACTTTCGGCACAATCACTAATGATTTAATCTAGCCTAATTTTCAAGTGTAATAGTGGAGATAATCTGTATCACCGTGTCTTCAATCATTAATCGGAGAGATGATAAACTTGAAGCTTTAAAGCCAATACAGTTTTTGCAAGCCCTCAACTTGACAAATTTTGCTGACTTACAGAATTGAGGAAATATCCATGGATGAAAAGGCTCTGAACTGTTATTCAAGTGACCTAAAAACTGAACATAGTGTAGAAATTATATATAGTTCAAACTTTTTAAATGTAGGGCTTTAATTAAACTGTGCTTTCATGTATACTATACAATAGCTTACTACTGCAAAACCTAAATAATGGGGAAACCTCTATATATTATAATGCTTTGCCTTTGGTCGACTAAACGGAATAAACAGCTGACAGCTAAATGAATTTTGTCACAATGTGTACACAATATATTCCAAAGTGGCAGTCTATACTTCAATAGATAGTGAATACAAAGTAAAAGACCCTTAATAGTCACTACAGAGAAGATTTCCAAAAATGTAAAAAAAAAACTTTCCAAGGACTTAAAGTCTATTGTCAAAAGTGAACACAGATTTTTGACTAAATTCATGAATTGTATTTCTCAAAATGTGATTTCAGCTCAAACCTGTAATTTTCCTTTTGACTCCCAAATATGAACAACCTTTTTTTGGAGCTGATATGTTACAGAGAACAGAGAATTGTATATGATTTCTTGAAAATGTTAAACTTTCAAAGATTCACATATTCAAAAGTTTATCGTCAAAAGCTAATATAGAATTTCAGAGGATCTTTAGGAACTTAGATTTCTCAAGATCTGATTCCGGTCCAGACTCTCGATTCATCAGGTCACTTTTTTTCTTCCCATTTCATTTAATTTCACTTATTTATTCAGTTCTGAATACATAATACAAATCAGTATAGATTAAAACATATATAAAGATATATAAACTTATTTAAAACAGAACTGGCCATGGCTCCAAGATGAGCAAAGTTAGGTGCCTTGTGAGCCCAATACAATGAAGATATCAAAAAATAGTAGAAATGTCCAAAGAGTTGAGGCACAATGTACATGTAAGTTGGACAGCAAATACACAGAGAGATTTCAGAGGAAGTTGGATATTTTGAAATTTGATTTACTCGTCTTTTCAACAAATATTCCCCCCCCCCAAAATGTAGAAAAATCCAAGAGTTAAAGCACAGTGCACATGCAAGGTGGTGGAAAACAAATACAGAGATTGGGAGGGTGCTTATATAGAGGAAGTTGGATTTCTTGAAATTCGAATCATGTCCCTTCAACGAATATTCCTCCCCCCCAAAAAAAAATGTAGACAAATATTAAGAGTTAAAGGGGGTGTAGCATGGCAAATACTGATTAACGCCATCTACGACTTCTTTTGGACAACTGTACGTAAAGGTTGGACTTGATTAACGGTCAGCGTGCGCTATGTTCGCGAAACAGACAAAAGTGTATAATGCACCCATGTGAATACTGCGGTCACGTCACCCGATTGGCCCCGAGTAAGGCTACGGGAAAGACACGTAGTCTCGTCATGCTTCACCCCCTTTAAAGCACAGTGTACAAGTTTGAGGTGGACAACAAATACAGAGATTTAGAGGGTCACTGAGCGGGCTTACATAGAGCATGGACCTTTGTACTAAGGTCCACGCGTAGAGGAAGTTGGATTTCTTGAAATTTGATTCTTGCTCAGACTAACCATACACCTGTTTGTCTCTATATCGATGTAACGCGAACTGACAGTCCGCAGAGCATTGCTTCCTACTGTAGTACTGACAGCCTGTCTCGATAAGCCTGCCTTCATCAGCTCGAGATTGCCAAACATCCAGCTATTTCAACTATCCCGATCGCAAATTGTCCAGTTAGTTTGCGTCTTCATCAGTCCGAAGTTGCAATTAGCAGGATATTTGGTCGAGATAATCATCCCAAGATATCTTGGGATAGTTTGAACAATATCCCACTATTTGGAAAAATATCCCGCTCTTTGTCCGGTGCGTCTTCACCAGCCCGAAAACTCGCACTATGCGCGAACGCTTAGTAAATATCTCAAGCTAATTTCTCAAGGTCGAGTTTCAAGTTTCGAGGTCGAATCTCGAGCTGATGAAGACGAGATTTGTAACTTTGGGATTATTTCCCAAATCAGAAATAGCGGACTATTTGGCAATATCGAGCTGATGAAAACATGCCTGATGACTCAAGCAGTGCTCACATATTTTTGTGTTCATGAAATTCTTTGGCTCACGTAGGATGAGGATGAGGATGAGTTTCAAGAGTTATAAGTCAGGTTCAACACATTCAAAATCTCGCAAAGTTATATTATCAACACTTTATTAAAAGGGTACTGTTTAACTTTGTATTGCATGTTCAAAAATAAAGTTGAAAAATAAGCCCAAAAGCGCAGTAGTCCTCCTATTGACAGCTAGTCTGTTTGGATGACTCAAGCAGTGCTAATGTTTAAAGGTGTCATGGACGAGTGGATATGTCACCAGACTGTGGATCACAAGGTTTGCAGTTCAAGTCCCACCGCGGCACTAATGTCCTTTGGCAAGACATTGATCTACATTTGCCACTCTTCACCCAGGTGTTAAATGGGAACCCGGTAGGATGCGAAAGCTAATGTGCTTAGATTAGCAAGTGTGCGCTTGTAAAAAAAGACGCCTGGCTGGAATGCTCCCCAGGGAGTGGAGAATGTGCATACATTGTGTGCGGGTAAGCCTGAATCCTATGACCGGGGTAATAATATATATATATATATATCTGTAAAGCGCTTTGAGAGGGCCTATGGTCCTGAAAAGCGCTATATAAGAACTAGCTATTATTATTATTATTATTAAAGGTAATACAAAGTTTTAGAAATATTTCAACAGAATTGGATAATGAAATTTAAAATAATCAATTACCCTTGTGGAACCTAGTGTTAGAATAAGCAACTCTGAAAAAATTGGGCTCTAAAACGCTTTGGATTTTAAGAAATTATTGGTGCTCCTGATAAATTTTAGTATAGCTCCCTCTCAGGTCAAAAATGTACATGTCATCTGAAGAACATAGCACTATTGTTTAGCTGTAATAATTGAAATGCTTGAACAACAAATCATATTACCAGATGAAATACATATATATAATCATAAAGTTTTTCCAGGAAGTAAATGGTTTTTATATTGCCTGGTAAAAGAAAAATTATTGATATTATCGATCAAACCTATTACTCCCCTCTCTCTTTCTGTATCCCTCTAACTTTATCTCCTCTTTCTCTCATCTCTCCCTCTCATCTCCCCCTCTCTCTTTCTCTTATATCCCTCTCACCTCTCTCTCTCTCTTTTTACCTCCCTCCTCTGTTTCTCTCTTTTCCCCTCTCTTGCTTCTGAATCCCTCTCATCTCACTCCCACTTTCTTTCCCCCTCTCTCCCTCTTTCTCCCCAACCCTCCCCTCTCCCACTCTTTCTCTCTATCTTTTCTCTTTGTCTCTGTATCACTCCTATGTCCTCTTTCTATATCCATGTCACTTGTTAGTCTCTCTCTTTCTATCCGTCTCTGTTTTTCATATGACACACACACCTCTCTCTCTCTCTCTCATCCCTTTCTTTCTCTCCAACTTTCTTTCTCTCTATCTTTCTTTATCTCTCTCTCTCCCTCTTTCTGTATCCCTCTCATTTGTTATTTGCTCTCTTTCTGTCTCTCTGTCTCTCTCATACACACACACCTCTCGCTCTCTCATTCCCTTTCTCTCTCTCTCTCTCTCTCTCTTCTCTTTATATATATATATATATATATATATATATATATATATATATATCTTTCTCTCCCTTTCTTTGTCTCTCTCTATCTCTCTCATCCACTTCCTCTTTCTTTCTCTCTCTTCTTTCTGTATCCCTCTCACCTTTTAGCTCTCTATTTTTCTCTCCACCACCCTCTTTCTCTCTTTTGTATCCCGTCTCTCTCTCTCTCTCTCTTTCTCTATATCGATCCCTCCCCTCTCTCTCTTTCTCTATATCGATCCCTCCCCTCTCTCTCTCTCTCTTTCTACAACCCTCTCACTTGTTATTCTCTCACCCCTCTCTCTCTCTCTCTCTCTCACACCTCTCTCCCCCTCTCTCTCACCCTTCTCTCCCTCTCTCTCTTTCTTTCTCTTGCAATCTACCTCTCTCAATTCATTCCTTTATCTTTCTCTCCAACTTTCTCTCCCCCCCCCCCCCCCCCCTCGGCTCTCTCTCTCTCTCTC